ATGACACAATCAAATGTTGTTCAAATAAAAAGGGTTTTTGATGCCCTGACTACGATAGTAGTAGGGCATTATGTTTTCTGGTCTTTACATCTGTATGTCCAGAATCAGGTTAAAGGTTTTGTTCAAGGTTGTTTTTGATTAACTTGTAGTGTTCACATGTTCATTATGATGTGACCTATCTAAATTGTATGACGTATGGAATTCGACCCTAATTTCACAGTTCACTGATCATAAAATTTGATAGTGTGAAAACAGTTTAGTCTCAGGTTAAAATTTTTTGTCAAATTAATTCATGAAGAAAATGTATTAACAAAATGCTTTATACATTTTGGTCGGGTTGTTGTCTTTTTGACACATCCCCCGTTTCCATTCATTATACTACATCAACTTGAAACTTAGGAAACATGAATTATGATGTTACATTTCTTAATTGTATGCAAAAAAGGGTTTGACGCCGATTTTATGGTTAACTGAACATGAAAAATTACCAGTGCGGTATCAGTGTACTCTTTTTCTTGTTTCTCTTAATCCTACCGATGTGTTAAAATGTCATAAGAATTGGTTAAATCTTTTATTGTTTTGCAATTTTGGACATTGTATGACAGAAAAAAGATGAAATACAAGATATCATTTGAACAAAGGCACATACAAGGCCATATATTGGACCTTGGCCATAACATACATAAGTTGTACTTTTATTTGTATCAATAGTATCGCTTAAGTCGACGCTAGGGGCCGTCTTGACCTCGTTGTAAGGTATGAATGATTCGTTCATTGTTGAAGACCGTATATCGACTGTCAAGACGAAGAACAGGAATAAAAGCCCTGTTCATTGATAACTTGTATTTTTCTATGTACAAAAATGAATTTTGTGCGATTTTGTTCCATGTACATTTACTTCATATCCCTTTATTTTCTATTACTGTTCCCAGATTGAACTCATATATAAGGTAATTGATTGAATATTTGAATATTTGTGAAAGTTTTCCGTCAAATGGTTTCAGAGTAGTTGCATACACAAAGTCTTTGGGACGGACGGAATGACGGACGGCTGGACGACCGGATACTATTAATATACCCCCTCATACGCTTGCGTTTGCCGGGCACAAAAATCAGAAAAACATACATACACTTAAGAGTTCTTTTCTATTTGTACTCAACAAATGTAGGTACAGTCTGTAATAAAAAAAAATGAATTTGAATTACTAGTCAAACCTGATGGAGAGTTTATAAAGGGTGAATAGAAAATATCAAAGCAATAGTATTCTGAACATATTTTTTTTTTTCATTTTCATTATGTTTCATTGTAATGATAAACATGTCATATAGATAAGTTTTTTTGGAAGTCGACACCATAATCTTTAACATTGATAGCATCAGTCTCAGGAGAGACAAGGGTTATAGCAAATCCTTTTTTTTATGAGAAATCTAAATATTTTAAATAATCCTTGAAAATTTACCATTCTGGGAGAGAAACCCATGGATTGTCCAATAAGTCTACAAATTTCATAATCCTACCGATTAACTTCCTTTAAGTTTTGCTGTAGTTGCTGAAGTTTTTGAGATAAAGCCAAAAACTGTATTTCACCCGTACTTTCTATTTTTAACAATGGCGGCCATATTTGTTAATTGATTCAATATCTGTGTACAAATTTGTTTACCTAGATACCTTAAGTAACATCCAGGTAAAGGTTGCAAGTACTTGGCCTAGTAGTTTCAGTGAAGATTTTTAAAATATTTTATGACAAAAAAAAAAAACAACTCCAGACACCAAGTAATGGCATAAACTCACATGACCTTTTGGACCCCAATGTGCCAGATGAGCAAAAAAAGGAAGGTGCATTTACTTTCAACCATTGAAGAAATTTTATGCTTAAATGTTCAGATTGTTCACAAGGAACAGCATTTAAATATGATCATTTTTAATTGTCAAATATTTTATGATTCTGAAAAACGAATTTTTTCTCGAAAAAGGGGGGCTGCAGCATATCAAAAATTTTGTGCAAATAAAAAATAAAAAATAGTTATTAACATTTATAATTGATATATTTATGTCTGAAATGCACAATTTATTTGAAGATTTTGACTTATTGAGTTCAAAAAGTTGATCGGTATATATATATATGGCATTCTGGATTTTTGTCAAAATATTTTTTTTTTAAAAAAAAACCACGCCATTTTCTTTTTATTTTATAAAGATCTTATATGTTGTCTTTCAAAATTTATTAGTGATATGTTTGAGTATTGTTGGTCTTGGGTGATAAACAGAATTAAAATTGGGTAATTTTTGAATTTTTGATTTTTTTGAATTTTAACAAATATTTCATGAACATTACAAAACCATCAGCAATGTTTGACATTAATTATTGTGTGATGTTATAAATGAAATGTTTTTTTTTATTCTTACTGTATTTTGTAATTTGAAATATATATACCATTGACATTATTGAGGAAATGAATTAGAATATGGTATTTTGAAGAAAAAAAACACAAGATCAAGGAAATGCCAAAAAAAAATAATGAAAAGGCGGTTTCGTTTGCCATAAAAAATACAAACATTTTGAAAAGAGAGAAAAGAAAATATATTGCGCTAAAACGAATGAATGAATAAAGATGTATTGAATTTTACGCAGCCCAATCGGATTATGTGCATAACACATATATGACTGTGTTGATATACTCAATAATATAAGCCCTGCATATAGGAGAGACTGATGGTTGTTAAACGTCCAGTGGAAAGTTAAGGGCATACGATACAGTTTTGATCCCATAATGAAATTTTGATGAAAATTTGCATATAGGCTATTTTTTACCTGATTAAATCAAATATGTAATAAAAAATATACCATCATGTGCTACTTTTTGAATAAATTGAGGTTGAAATTTCAGATATTTCCTCAAAATTCGGATTTGTGGACGTTTTTTTTTTCTTTTCGACAGAAATACATAACTTTTTTGTTTTAAAAGATAAACACAAGCTGTTTTTTGTTAAATTATTTGTAATTTCTGTTTTATATAAATGTTCTATAAATTTGTACATTTCATTTTTACAAATAACTCATATTAATCAAATGACCATGATTGTAGAAAAAAACGTCATTTTTGCTGTATATTTATTAAATTTAAAAAAATTGCACTATTGACTTTTTCATGAAAATTGGTAAACATAATCTTCATACGTAATCAAACCAAATGTCATTTTAAAAAAGAGGGGTCCATGAACTCGTTTTCAAGTTAAATCAGTTTGAATGATAAAAATCAGTCGACAACTGCATCTTTTCCCGATAAGTCACAGTTTGACGTCGCGAAAATAACAGTTTACGTTAGCAACGTCATTACCTCCCCTGTAACTGTATCGTATGCCCTTAAATGCATATTCATGATGGGAACATGATAACGAGATATGAATATTGACCCTGTTTTGTATTTGACCGCCATGTTGAGCAAAAAACGAGCTTGTTCACAAGTTAACAGTCCATAGTATTGCATAGAAAGACATTTCACACTACCTGGACACATTATTCTGACACAGGACCGACAAATCTTTGCTGTTACTTCTAAATGCCGTGTGTTTAGCGGAGAAGCAGCAAACACATATTTTTCAAGTCGTAGGGTTAACTTTCGGGCGATTGAACCCACGACATCCCGCATTCGAGGCAAACAGGCTTACACGAAATCACTGAACAGATGTGGAATTATAATAGTATTCGATTTAAATATTGAACAACGTAAAATATTTCAGATTTTTCTACCTCTGACAAAAATAGTCGTGGCCTTTTTATGAACACTTTTTCGATATTTTGGTTGGCAGTGCTTCGTCCTTGATTTGTCTCTCAAACTGTTTGATCCCAGCGCAACTGATCAGTGTCGTGAAAACGAAACGCATAAATGGTTTAAAACATTATACCCATTGTATCACTAAAATTGTTGTCTTTGAATACCAAAATACGGATTATGTTTTCCCCGGTATAATGTTTTCATTGGAGCATTTTTTCTCAACAATAATATAAAAAATGATTCCTTTAATATAAAGATAAGAATATGTGGTATGACTGCCAAAGAGCCTACTTTACATCGAAGTCCAAATGTCTTTGATGTAAGCAGTTATGCATTCAACACTGAGCGTTGGCTCCCACACCAAAGCAAGCTTTAAAGAGCCTGAAAATGACCTTTAAAACGAGAAAACAAACGGTTAGATTATATACAAATAAAACCAACGAAAAAAATGAAATACAGCAACAAAACAACACAATTTTACAAATTGAATATACAATCATTGTTTAGGCCCATTGCATTAATCATTAAGTATTTTGAAGACAAAACGTGCTATCTAGCGTGATTTTTTTAATAGAATTAATAAGTTAAATGATCACAAAGTCTCTAAAAACGAAAGCAATATTAGGATTACTTCGCCTAATGGTATTGGAACCTCAGTTTCGTAATAATAGGATAAAACTCATTTTTTTCTAGTTGTTATTGATGTGTAAACTCGGTCGATTAACTCACAAACTGAATAACAGTCCAAAGGACTTTTATGTTAAGTTTGTGAGTCAGCGACAAAGTTTACACATCAATAACCTCTGGAAAAAAATGTGTTTAATCCTTATAAGTCTAAATCCAAATATTATTTATTATTTTTATTTTATTATTAACTTTCTTAACACCAGTGTTGCGCATGAATACACTTCAACGTTATGTTTCCATAGGCAACGTAAGTAGTTTCGGCAACATGGTTTATCGAAGTGTTAACCTACGAAAGAAACTTTAACGGTGCAATCACATTCAAGTATTTGTTGATATGCAACTCATATTAGAATTATTAAGTGCTTTGAATTTTTTACGGTAAACGCAAGTAATTGCAAACTATGGATATCGTTTTTTTTTTTATTTGAATTTTCAGCTTCGGTTCAACCCAGCTTTACCTACTGTCTAAGTTATTGTTTCTTGGTTTATAGATGTTGTAGAAAAGCATTGTAACTTTGTTTTATTTATACACATAGTTTGTAACAAAAATGCTTTCAAATGCCCGAAAGAAGAAAGATGTATTCGAGAAGAGCGGGTATGCGACGGGAGAGCTGACTGCAATGATTTTGCAGATGAAATGGGATGTTTCGGTAAGTTATTTCAAATATTTAAGACGTCTTGTAAGGCTTTTTTGTTGTTGTGATGCCGTATTGCGACGTCATAACGACAATTATTTTAGCGGTTGGACTTTGAAAGCAAATTTTCCACTCATCTTTATGACCCAGGAAACAGGAACATGATATTCCACTGACGTTCTAGAAATATTTGCATATGTACAAATGTTACCGTTCATGTTCTTATCGGAGTAGAATATATCTCCGCCGTGCTGACGATATCTTCGTTCTTTTTTTCCTTGAAAAAATCCTTAAAACATTTTGAAATTATTTGAAATAAACGAGGTCATCTGTAGCTTGGATAGAATTCTTACTTGTTCATTATGACTTTGAGATATTCGGGAAAATATCTAAGCCTGTTTAGTTTTATTTACAACCACTGGGTCGATGCCACTGCTGGTGGAGGTTTACTCCTCGAGGGTATCACAAGCCCAGTAGTCAGCACTTCTTTGTTGACAAGATATATCACTGATATAGTCGTATTTATAAATTGACAGTTTGCTTAACGTTTGAATTCATCGAAATACTAGATTTTCTACCTCAGGCAAAGAAAATTCCTTAGCGTCATTTGGGATAATTTTTGAAATTTTTGGTCCCATGCTCTTCAATTTTGTACTTAATTTGGCTTTTTTACTTTTTCGATTAGAGCGTTACTGATGAGTCTTATGTAGACGAAATGGGCGTCTGGCGTGCTAAAATATTTGAGCCTGATATCGTTGTTTAGTTTTGTTTACTCCAATTAGATCATTTTTGAAATTTTATAGTAGAAATGGGTCTGAAAGTTGAGAACAAAAATTGCTATTATTGTTCAACCGTAACAAATGGCTTCAGCGTTAAGACGTCGCAGTACGGCACGACAACAAAAATAAAAAAAGTCTTTCAAAACGTCATAATTGTTTAAGTTTAAGAACATTTAACAATGAATGTTTACCTCTATCATTAATTATCATGCCCTTTTTTATCAGTTGGACACAAAGCTGCATGTCGCTGGCATTTACTCAGGTGTTTATTGAAGTGTCTTACCAATGGGAGAAAACTTCATAAGTTTGTTTTAACTTGTGTCTCATCCTTTTTGTAAATTATATGTTTGCGTTTGCTTTTGTTGTAGTTCTGTATACTGAAGTTCCGTTGTTTTCCTCTTCTAGTTGACGTGTTTCCCTCGGTTTTAGTTTGTTACCCGGATTTGTTTTGGCTGAATCGAATTATGGCTATTGAACAGCGGTAGACTACTGTTGCCTTTATTTATACAAATAAAATATGTTTAAGGATATTCGCTAGTCATCTTTTTTAACTTTTTGTCGGATTTTTGGAATCCTCTGGTTTTATCCACCCAAGTGCCATTACAAATTTTGCCCGCTAACCCATACTTTTCTTTTCATATTTTAATTTCATATACATGTAGTTTAAAAGCACTTTTTAAAAAATTTATAAAATCCTTGTTATTTTTTCATAGTTTATTTTAGAAATTAGTACCCAATGTTAAATGTATGACAAATCTACAGAAAATTGTTTCCTGCCAAATTTTCAATGCCTTATATCTCAAAAACAAACACGCTGGCCCAGTAGCAAACATCCTTAAACTAAAACCAATGAGGCCAGGAAAATTTAATACATAATCAAAGATTTATTTCCGTTCAAAATAGCCTAGTGCTTAACATTACTTCCAAAAATCACTCAACTGTAAATTTGTCTAAAGATATCTTAAAAGTCAAGTTTAAACAACTTCAGAAGATATCTGATAAAGATACAAAAATACTTTTAGAATGTTTTTGAAAGAAAAGGTTTTTCGTTTTATTGGCACTCTGTATATATAATGTCTTGTTTTCAAATATATGTGAGGAATTGAAATCAAGAAACTACTACTTTTCTGTTTAACATGAATGTTTTTTTTTATCATAATTACCTTACATGTTTTTTATAGAATGTGGTGCGGACGAGCTGATATGTACTGAAAGCCTAAAATGTATTCACGCTAACAAAATACTTGATGGAAATAATGACTGTGGAGAATGTTCTGATGAGAACTATAGTGATGAATGTTTCTTTGGTATGCTTATTGTTTTTGCTTAGGTATTCTTGTTCTACGATTACCTTCTTCTTCTCCTTTGAACTTGAACATCATTTTTTTAATTACACAAACATGTAAATTATATGTAGAATCTAAAGAATAGAAACGTTCTTCATTTCAAATCAAATGAAGTACAAAGTTAATCCCCATGTGTTATCCCTACCCCCAGCAATTTGAGAGTCTTTGAATTTCTTGTAAATGGCTAAGTAACCCACAATAAACCACATACATTCCTGTTTCTCATGTCAAGATGGTGTGAAATATATATATAAGGTTAGTCCTCATAGGTCATCATTTTGCCTTTTCTGGTAGACACTACAGAAACGATTAAAACCACTCAGCACTACACGCACTTATATCATATATTTTACCATATATATAGATATACAGATTGATTTTTTTTGATTTATAAGTTAAAGAAAGCTTTGAATTAAACAATTATGCATTACTCCTATGCTTGATGATATGAACAAGAATGTCTGAAAATTGAAATAAAAATAATGAAATTGCGCATTGTATTTCGTTGATAATGAAACCTTTAATTTCTTGCTTCTTAAAAGATCATTTTTAACGAGAAACGTTTTACAAAAAAACTATGTTTCTTTTTGCTGTTTAGGACAGGGACAAGGCTAAAGTCTGGAGAGAAGTTGTTAACATCATGTAGATTGATTATTCGGACATATAGAGATGGAAGACGAAAGAATTAGAAACAACTTAGCTTTTATTTCTAGATTTTAAGCACATAATATTTTGATTAGAACATTATTGGCAAATATGTAGCATTCCTTATATTTTGCCCATTATGCTTAACTGAGTAATTATTTATTTCTGTGTAACCATCTTGTTTCCCTGAAATATGTACACTGTATTCTTACTTTTAGCTATAAATAGAATGCAGAAAATATTTCGATGTGCATTTTTTTTTATCGTTGATACAGTTGTGAAGGTAAACACATGAAAAATTATAAATTTGAAGTCACATTTCAAAGAAATACGTCAATTACAGGAGTATAGTCTACATAAAATAAAGCACAACCAATTGTCTAAACTACCTATACACGAGTCATTTTTGTTACAGATTGTAATCATGTGGTTTTAGCTTAAAAGATGCACAATATACCAGAGGGATATCATTGAGGAACACGATTATGTAAAATACCAACAGGCATATCAAGATCAAGCAAAGCTCCCTATGTTATATATATATATATATCAATTTATATCTAAGGTTATATGTCAATGTATATCCTTGTTGGAAAAGCTTAGGATTGTTTTACAAAAGGCATATATTACCTTAACTGTAATTGTCAAAACCTTTCCGATTTTTTTCTCTCAAACCTTGTACTTGATTTGATCTTTTATTGGTTTTATTCGAAAATTATAAGCCTGATATCTTGGATGTGGTTATTTTCTATACGATGAAATGTGGTTCGCCCTTTACCAATGTGGGTATATGCACTGTCTTACTTTGACTAATACTTTACTTCCTTTGTACATTAGTTGTTTTCTTAACATTTTTATACAGACTTGTGGGTGAACAAAGCTTTTGAAATGTTATTGAACTGATATTCTGGATTAAAGACCCAAAACCCTCTATTTTGGGTAGGTGGATATTGTTATGTATTTTATATGTAGCGGTGTGTACTATAATCGGACTGTCACACTTTTTACATGTTTTAACAGCCAATTCAAATTAAAAATTCACAATTAAGACTCCTTACTTAATTATTATGTCAATTCCTGAAATAATGTTATAGTCAAATGTTGTTGAAATACAGTATAACAAAAAAATAGAATACTCTTGATGTAGTACAATGTATTTACCAATTAATCCTTTACTATTTAAATATCATCATTCCTGATGTCCAGTCCTACCATTAAGTGCTCTCTTAAAATGATGTAAACGGTTGTAAAATGTCAACGCAAATTAAGTTTAGTTTACATGCATGCCATGAAAACGACCATTTTACGTTATATTAACTTTAAAATTCAAGTAAAAATAGAAAGTAAACGAATCTTTACTTTTTATAGTGAAAAAAATAACAAAGCAATATTTTTTGGCCAAAACAACAATATTAAGAACTAAATACTAAAAATTTGCCATTATGATAGAAGGATTCATATCCAATTCAAGCGTTTTAAACGATGTACCTTAATTCAAAGTAGAATTCAAAATTCAAGAACTAATTGACACAAACATTCCATAAATTGAACTGGTACTATAAAAAGTGTTTATAATTAGGTCGTCCCTCCATGCTAACATCACTTCACCTAAGCAAAAGGTAAAGGCTTCAAACAGATGATCAGTTTGGAGAGGTAACTCCAAATTATAATGAATTACAAAAGGATAAAACATTTAAGGATGTACACCTCTGAGGTTCCAAACATTTCTAGTTTTAAACTTTTTCTGAACCTGATTTTTAGGTTTATATGACAGTAAGAAATTTATCGTCATCTGGGATGTTAAAAGGAAAGAGTTTGATAGCCACATTTTGCCTCTGCAGCGGCCCCAAAGAGCCTTTTCTTAACGAATCTGCAGTAGGGGTCTTTTACATGCACAGGACGTTAAATTCTGCCTGTCTGCTTCAGAATCAGTCAATGGTGAAAATATGACAAAAACCCACTGAAGTTAACATTGATTTCAGTTTATAATATGTAGTAATGCATAAAAATAACGTTAATTTCCTTTTCCTGTTCTGGTAAAAGAAAATATAATTTAGTAGAAATGCACTACGCACTAGAAATTAACTTATTCAGATGACGCGATAAAGCATTGCTAAACCAGATCCACACGCAACAAGTAATTCATAAGTCTCTATGTCGAAGAAGATACCTTCAGGGCAAATTAAAATTGAGAATGGAAATAAGGAATGTGTCAAAGAGACAACAACATGACCAAAGAGCAGAAAACTAATATTCTTGTTCAAAAGTTGTTTACTTTTTCCCCGTCGGTTGATATCAAATGTAAAATCCCCTGGCAAAAGTTTGTAGCAAAAAAGTTTCCGTATTTGTCAATTGATACACCAGAATCAGCAACATCCGTATTTGTCAATTGATACACCAGAATCAGCAACATCCATTTTCATACTTTCCCTTCCATTACCATCACAGCATGCTATAGATTCATTAAAAGATGTGTAACAAAACCTATTTGCATAATAAGATAGATAACATTGATCACTTTGAACTTCTACTGGTATTGTTCTGATGAGATTTCCATACTAAATCAAACTCTATTATTCCTCTGTTCTTTGCGATGACAGAAAGTTTTTTGTTGTGGTAAGATAAACCAGAGCAAGATTTCCCAACATTTATCTTCTGCTTCACATCACCGTCATCAATGTTTAAAATTTTTATTGTTTGATCGTCCTGGCATGTTACGGCTACCGTGTTGTTGTTTATTACAGCCAACCCGAAAGGAGACTTTCCGACTCTGAATGACTTCGATAACTTTCCATCACTGATATAGACTAATACCTTATTTCTTTTGAAATCCGCAAACAGCATTCTCCGATCATTGACAATGACGCAATCTTTAATAGAGTCACCGCCTTCACATCGCGTATCAGTTCAAATTCTGTCTGATCAATATTTGTCCCTCCAGTTACCTGTATATTAAGTTGTGCCCTTTTCTGCTCCCATTTTCCTATCTGAATTTTACTCGGACTTCGAACAAACTGTATTGTACCAAATTACTTCAGATCGGATATCAAGCGTTCCAGTTGTGGTTCTTAAGTTTATATTATGACAGTTCCTTCACCTACATCCTGGTTACACAATGATGAAATACATTCTTGTTCTTCATGCAATACTTTACCGATACGTTTTGTTGCTAAAATGACTTGAACATCAGAGAGCGCTTCCTTACATGGATGGAACGATTCTTGAAGACACTTAACATTTGTCTCCTTTTCCTTAAGTTTCGATAGTAACGTATCTACTTCAGTTACAGTTTTGTCACTGGTTGATTTTAACTGCTGAAATAGACCTGATTCTAGTTTGTCTAGATGCTTGTTTATCTGTTTCCTAAATTTGTTAATCTTCCCGGAAATTGTTTCTTCCTGGTCTTTAATCGCATCAAGGTTTGATTTTCGGTCGTTTCTAAATTCATTTACAGTATGTACAAGCTCATTAATTCCTCTTTCGATGTGAAAAAAAATCCGCTGAGGTTTTAGCGTTACGGGCAATATCATCAATAGGTTTTAGACCACCGATGCATTGTTGATGCTTATTGGGTACGTATAAGACGTATGCTTTCTCGAAGTGATCAAGACAATAAAAAGTTAGCATCTGATCGTGTTCGTCACATTTCTGCTTCATATGTGGAGAAGCCGATTCTATTCCTGCATACTGACTTACTTGTATGGTTAGCTGTTTCTTACTTGCTTTGTTGACTTTGCAGTCCTTCAAACACGAGTCGCATAGTCCATCATCACAATCCATACACCAACTAACAGCAGTCGTAGTTTTATGTCTGGCTCCACATCGACCGCATAGCCTACCACTTGAAGATGCTATCCTAAAAAATAAATACTTAAGGTTTTCAAAATATTACTTGCATATGTTGTAGTTTTAATGTTTACTTTGTATAACTCCTATAAGAAGTAATCTAAATATTGTGACGATGCACACTTGTTGTAGGTCTTATCCTTGTGATAATTTTTTGTTGTTGTCTCTTTATCTATCAATTATTTTAAGAAATAAGCAAATTCACAAAAAAAATGTATAAAATCGTCATTTATGAGCAATAATTCCTTTAAGCAGTAAAACAACAATTCGGCTATTTTGACTTATTCATAGATCTTGTCTTATTGATCATGTTTGAATCTGAAATCTATAATTTCTGTCTATCTATCTAATATAATTTTCAAGATAATAGGAAATAACACATAAATTGGTCAAATCGTCATTTAGGGGCAATAACTCCTATACGCAGTTAACACACAATATCGGCTATTTTGACTTATTTTTATATCTTGTCTTACTGATAATGTTTGCAGTTTAAATTTTCTATCCGTTTATTATAACACCCCCCCCCCCTTTTTTTCCAAAACAAAAAGAAGAAGACATGCACACACAGTGATTTCTATTGACACAAAACATGAATATTTTGGCATTTTTCACCTATACATTTCTATCTTGTTAACACTTATCAAAGGTACCAGGCTTATAATTTTTTCTACACCAGACACGCGTTTCGTCTACACAAGACTCATCAGAGACGCTCGAATCAAAATAATTGTAAGGCCAAATAAAGTACAAAGTTGAGCATTGAGGACCCAAATTCCCCAAAAGTTATGTCAAAAACGGCTAAGGTATTATGTGCCTGGAGGTAGAAAATCTTAGTATTTCGAATAATTCATCAAACAGGAAATTTATACAAAAAAAAGGGCAATATCATTAATATTTCATGTCAACACGGAAGACTACTGGGCTGTAATTGTGTACACCAGACGAGCGTTTCTCCTTCAAACGACCCATCAGTGATGCTCGAATAATCAAAAGTTAACGCAGTTGGGAAAAACATTGTGGACCCAAAATGCCGAAAGGTTTTGCTAAATAAAGCTAAGGTAATAACATCAATTAATATTTTATTAACACTATTAATACATGATTACGTTTTTAGCTCGCCTGACCTAAAACTACACGGTTCCGCATATGTATACATCCCGCACAATCTAACGAATAGGACAGGATTTGACTGCCGATCAAAAGAGGATCTTGGATGACCCGTTTACAGAGTTTTATACCCAAGTCAACCCTTGCAGTTTGGTAAATATTCATATTCCACAAAAGAATGAATCAGCAGCTTTTATTAACTGGCGATACTCTTTCAAAATATGTTCGATGCATGGTTAAAAAATTCTGGTTCTTCGTTCAGACAGTTTGTTGAAGTCCTCTGTATAATCAATAACATCAAGATGTTTCAATGGTGATTTGAAGATTATGTTTGTTTTTAAGGTTTGCTTTGGCCTTTTTGTCAATGGTGTTATCATTTTGCCTTCGATTTATGGGTTAGGGTGTCCCTAAATGGTATATTTCCCCTGTCTATTTTATAAAGCGTATTTTGTTTGCAATTCTTGTCCGTATGTGCACATAAAATAAAAGTTTCTGTCAAAATTGGTGAAAGTAATTTCAAATAAAGGAATTATCTCCATCATGCATTGCACTGATTCCATGTTCGGTTCTTGCTTAGATTTTGGATATTTTTTAGCTCTTCAATGGTTGCATTATGTTCTGGCTTTTCAAATATAGTTGCCATTTTCTCTGTGCAACACCGAGGAGATATTCATTGTCGACATTTACATACATATGGTGTTATAACATTTGCAATATTAATGCAGTCTAACTTTCTGTTATCAGTTTCGTTCATTGGTAAAAGGTTCGTTTCCACATCCAGTCAAAATGGGGGTGTTTTGATCTTTTATTTTTTATAATTCAAGCGTCACTGATGAGTCTTTTGAAGATGAAACGCGCGTCTGGCGTTCCAAAATCATAAACTTGATATCTTGTAACCAATTGGTAGCCGAGAGGTTTCGTCGATATGTTGATGTCAGTCACACATAACAGATTTCAAGGACGGGTTCGATTCCCAGTGGAGGCATATAAAAATTACAAAAATTAAAGGTAAGTTTTTAAATTAATTCCATTAGTGAACAGAAATCAGTAAATTAGCTAATTCAAACTTTATGAAATTAGACACACAAAGGAAATAATTGAATATAATTTGGTGAATCCATTTCAG